GATCATGGGGATGCGGACATATTAGATATGGTTCGTGATAGTGCGTCTAAGAACGTTGGCGTAGTTATTGGACCTGATAGCATTGGTACTTTGAGCTTTACTAGTGGAAGTACCGGAACCCCTAAAGGTATGTTTTTTGTCAAATCTTAAAAAGTTTACATGTATTTAGTTAATAAACCTATTATTTAATTAAACAAAGGTGTAAGAGGAAGACATTTTTCGCTCACACATTATTATCCGTGGATGTCACGAAAATTTGGGATTTCAGATAAAGATCGATTCACCATGTTAAGTGGTATCGCCCACGACCCAATTCAGCGAGATAGTTAGTATTTCGTTGAACTCATGAAATTGAATTATGATAATTCTCTAACAATTCTTTTTTTTTAGTTTTTACGCCTTTATTTTTTGGTGCTGAATTACACATTCCAACTAGTGAAGATATTGGTGTTCCTGGCAAGTTAGCTGAGTGGATGGCTGAACATGAAGTCACTATTACACATCTCACTCCTGGTATTAATTTTCATTCTCATTATTAAGCCTTTATATTACTTACATCATGAATTAACATTCTCAAAAAATACGATCAATAAATACAAGCGATGGGTCAATTGCTTTCTGCAAATGCTACCGCTCTAATTCCAACACTCCGCAATGCATTTTTCGTTGGTGACATTTTAACAAAACGAGATTGTAATCGTCTTCAAAATTTAGCTCCAAATACCAGTATCATAAACATGTATGGTACAACTGAAACTCAACGTTCTGTTTCATATTTTTTAATTCCACCATTGTCTTCCGTTCCAACATTCTTGGAATCACAAAAAGATATTATGCCAGCCGGTGAAGGTATGCAAAATGTACAATTATTGGTGGTTAATAGACACAATAAAAATCTTTTATGTGGCGTTGGAGAGATTGGCGAAATTTATGTTCGGGCTGGTGGATTAGCTGAAGGATATTTAAGGCTGGATGAAGTTACGAATGAAAAATTTTTAAAGAATTGGTTTAATAATAATAATGAAGAACTAGAAATGTCACAAAGTGATGATAATGACACGCAAGAATGGAGACGTTTTTGGAAAGGAAAAAGGGATAGGTTGTACAAAACTGGCGATTTAGGAAGGTATCGACCTAGTGGAGATGGTAAAGTTTTTTCTTAATTTTATACTTACCTTATCAACTAATTATATAACTAACTATTATCTAAAATATACCATTATTTAGTTGAATGCGTTGGAAGGGTTGATGATCAAGTCAAAATTCGTGGATTCCGTATTGAACTTGGAGAAATCGACACACATTTATCACAACATCCGCTTGTTAGGGAGAATGTCACGTTAGTGAGGAGAGACAAGAATGAAGAGCAAACTCTTGTTTGTTATTTTGTACCTCTTCAAGGCGGCGACTTAAACGAGTTTCTAAGTTCTACTGATGAAAGTGATGTTGAAGAAATGATGGTTGAAAAACGAAAATATAATAGACTTATAAAGCAAATTAAAGATTATTTAAAGACGAAAGTACCATCTTATTGTGTTCCAAGCGGTAATATAAAAATAATCTATATAAAATTTAATGGTATACAATTTGCTTTGACTAATTCTTAATTTGGTTTTGATAGTATTTGTTCCATTGAAAAAGATGCCATTAACACCAAATGGAAAGATAGATAAACAAGCATTACCATTCCCTGACACCGCAAAATTCGTGTCAGCATCTGTAACTGCAAAAAGTCAAAAGATGTCACAATCTGAACGAGCAGTTCATACAATTTGGGCACAATTACTTCCAAACCCAC